TTGCCTATTGTATACATATACATTATATACTAAAATGTATCAAGAATTTAACTAAAGCTTTCAGTGTATTCAAATGATAAGACTTCTTGTGAAAAATGACATCAGAACTCTTCTTTCTCTTGGCTTAATAAATGAGTGTTTATGGATTATTACTGTTAATTTTTCTGTGTGAGCATTACAAGAGGTATGACATGACCCTTTTCCTTGGAGAACTTATTTTCTTACAGAAGACTGGGCATAACTAGTAAGTATAGATAATGACAAATATAGAGGGCATGAAGTACCAAATACAATAATAATGGAGAATTAAAAGGAAGAAGATAGCATGTGCTTAAGTAATTAGAGAAGCTGGCAGCAATGACAAGTTTTAATGCTTAAACTAGGTCATGAAAGACAACCAAGACTCAGTTTCCTAGAGGTATAAAGGAAAGAGGTCTGTTTGCAGAGAAAAATCAAATAATTTCCAGTGATGACCAAGGACCTCAAGGGCGTGGCCTCATTAGAACAAGACATAAAGCCATTGTAAATTTTTGTGTAAGAGAATCTACAGGAGTGTTTTGTCAGGAATTTTATAAGGCAGAAAGGATTATCCTATGCAACAAGGGGACATTATAGTTTTTTTAAAAAAAGGAAATAATAAAGACTGGGCTAGTATAGTGGCAGTATGCCAGAGAAAGAGATATTGGTAGGATAAGTTCGAATGGAAACATTGGTGAAATGCCTTTATTGACTAAATTTAAAGGCTATATAGGAAATGTGTCATTAAACTTCATTCCAAACATTTTCATCAACTCCAAGAGTACCTAAAATATCAGGAAGCCATGCTTAGAAAACAAAGTAGAGCTGGGCATGATGATCTATGTCTATATTCCCAACACTTCAGAAGCTGGGACAAGAAGATTGAGATTAGAGCCAAGGCCATCCTGGGATACATAGGAAGAAATATATAGTAAACAGGCAAAGTAGGGCATACCATTGTGCTCACAAAAGGTATTGAGTTACTTTTCAAGGCATTTTCTAAAGCCTTTTCAGCAAATAGGCCAAATGAATTGCTGAAGTACCACTCAGAGGGTGTCAGAGAAGTGGGGCTGGATGTGTTACCATCCAGTTAATTACTGAATCTATTTAGATGCTCAGCTTGAACCAATATCTGTATGTAGACCTAGAGTGAAATCCAAGTCATATTTATTCAGATGTCAATATTTTACTTGGAATTTGCTTGTGTAATTGGTGAGAGAAAGATACATATAGAATTAATTACTTTTTATCAGAATGTTAAAAATAAAAAAGATAAAGGATACCTATGAAAGGCTGAAGAAAAAAAGCTATCATTAGAAGACTCATTAGTGGCCAGACAGTGATGGTGCAGACCTTTAATCCCAGCACTGGGGAGGCAGATGCAGATGGATCTCTGTGAGTTCGAGGTCAACCTGGTCTACAGAACTAGCTCCAAGACAGCCAAGGCTACACAAAGATGCCATGTCCCAATACTCTGTCCCTCCCCAAAGACTCATTAGTGTAATAGTGATAAACAAATTTCTAACTCTGTATCTAAGATGCCTCAGCAGCTCCAGCCATTTAAAATCATACAGCCATTTAGTAACTGCCTATTAAGTCTACATCTCATTACTTCTAAAATTCACCTTTTTGTTTTTGTATTTCAACATTTTTAAGTTGGATCGTATTCTCCTGTGGATATCATCTTGTATTCTTAGCTAGCCAATAATTACATACCTACCATTGCTTTTATCCATTTCCTTTTTTTTCTATTTTGTGTATGTACCAAAGTTATATAGGATAAATTATATCCAAATAAGTCTTTAAAAACTCTGTAAAAAATAATGTTAGGAAGGGAAAAACAAAGTTTGAAAGCATGTTTTTCTTTCTCAATAGAACATGAATTGGCAGGCTGTTAAAAATATTTAATTTTAGTGTGTGTGTGTGTGTGTGTGTGTGTGATATGTGTGTAGTGTCCATGCAAGCCAGAAGAGGGCATTGGATTCCCTGGAACTGGAGTTACAGTTAGGAGCATCCATGTGGGTTCTAGGAACAGAACTGGTGTCCTCTGCAAGAATAGCAAAGAGCTTTTAACTGCTGAACTCTCTCTCCAGCCCCAAACTTGTGTGTCTTTAAATAAAAGTATCTTAGATTTGATGGAATGTGGTATAAAAATAGCTGATAATGGCAAAATTTCACCAATGTGATACAGACAACTAAAACATTTTTTTATTTACTTATTTTTGAAATAAGGTCTCACTCTGTATCCTGGTTGGCCTGGAACTCACTATATAGAATAAGCTGGTCTCAAAAATCACAAAGATCCACTTATCTCTGTCTCCTGAGAGCTAGGATTAGAAGCATGCACCAACATACACTAGTTTAAAGATGTTTCATTTCATCGGCCTCAATTGGAAAAGCCCCTTGAGTTCTTTAAATGTGCACTTGGGATACTAGAAAAAATTTCTCTCCATGGTATAAGTATCACCACCCTGATCAGAAACCTCCATGCAGGATCCATTTCTGTAATGGTACTGCATAAAATCATTCCTAAAACTTTAGATATTAACAGTATTCACAGGGACATTTTTCTCAAACCAGTTTGCCTTTCTAACCTTAAATCACCATGTGGTTCAAGCAGTTCTCTCTCTCTCTCTCTCTCTCTCTTTCTCTCTCTCTCTCTCATAATTTGTAGGTTTTATTAATAAAGACAACCTAATTATTTATATTGAACTTCTACTAGTCACTAGTACAAAACGTAGAAGGAAGCAAACATAAATAGTCCCGACTCTACTCTGAGTAACTTAAAATCTGATACTGGCTCATCATGCCTAGGCTAAGGGTGTCAAAGATAGTCCAGTGACAACAGAAAGTCCTAGGACACAGAGGGGCAAGTAGCTCAGTACCCTTCACTAAGGGTGACATGGCTACCAAGTAGTGGGGATGCTGTGCAGAGCAGGGGGGAAGGCTTGAGGTAGAGTGCTATTTTCCTAAGGAAGACAGGAGCCTCCTTCAGAGGGGTGCTGCACCTGGCTCAATCATTGCCTAGATTGTGAGTGTGAAATGTTGCTCACTCCCTTTGCTACCTGTCTGACTGTGCTTGAGAGCCTCCCTTTGCTGTGGCTGGTGTGTGGAGGCTATACAAAGATATGAAGTCTGTAATAGGTGTCACTGCCCTCCTGAGGAAAATCAGCCTCGAGATGATGTTCATACCACTGTAGACTTCAGGAGAGCCTTCAGGTCCCATTTTGGTGAGAATTCCCACAGCATTTGCAGCTCAAGCTCTCTGTGCTCCCTGTTCAGGGTACCACATGTGATAACTCCCATCTTCTAGCTGCTCAGCTGCCCCTCCTGTCCAAGCAATTCCAAGTATGTTTACCTTTTACGCAAATTGAAGGTGAATATGAGAGGAAATTTGTATAGGGGGTGATATAAAGCCTCTTGATTTAGAATATGCTTTCTAAAGTGAGCACTAGAAACTTGGATTTTCAGTACTAGAGCTTTTGGCCATTTCTCCACTGTACCCTATTGACTGAAGGTAGGTTGTTTTGTATTCAGCAACACATCGTGGGCAGAGACACCTGTGGATTTACCCAGCATGATGATCAGTGTATATGTATGTCTTTACAAGTCCATGTTCCAGAGCTAACAGGTAGAAACAAAGTTAGTATCAAGTTAGATGGATGCTACTCTTAATGCTAAGATTACAGTGCTTCAGGTAAGTAATTCTGAAGTCTTCCACCACCTGATGTACCCTGGTTTGGTCTATAGGTATGTTTTACTTTTGCTTTGTTATTCAATTTTGATTGGGTTTGTAGAGCACGCTTATAGATGGAAGGCCAACATGTGATTTAACTGTGTGGTGTGCTGTTAAGAGAGAGAGAGAGTTTTAGGAAACTACAAATGCACAGAAAGATGTTCTAGCTACCTATTCCAAAGTGTGTAAAACACTACTCAGCTTTGTAAAGGTATGACAACAGAGTTTTATACACACACCATACATATCCAAGGGAGTGGGTGTGCTCTGATAAAGAGAAGTTGAGTTTTCTCAGTTAGATCTGAAGATTAGCCAAAACAAGCCATCAGGCTAAGTGCCTTCAGTGAGTTGGGAAAGACCAGTGTGAGATGAGCTCAGAGTCTGCACGTGAGAGGCATTGATATTGACTTATGTGCTTCCTCATGGGAACTATCCATCTTTCTCTAAAGAGACACATTGTTTTCATACCTGCCTCAGGCACATCATTAGAACCAAGCTGTTGAAAATGAATTGTTTGGAAATAAGCAAAACCTTTTCAGATGCAGTAGAACTTTGGAGATGATATCTCTAGTTCCTAATCTAAAGTTTCTTCATGACACCAGGCAAGTCCTATGTGGCCTTTAGCTTCCTTATCTGCAAAACTTGGTGGTCCAAACATGCCTTAACACTGTGTCTGGAGGAAAAAGGCCCCTCCAGGCTCTCTGATTGCTGTTTTATTGTACTGTTCCTGCTTAGGCTCCTCAGAGCTGCAGAGACCCATCCGGCCCTCAAGCAACTACTGTTTCTGCCACACATTCCGACACAGGACTGTGTTGCTGACTTGAAAGGAACATTACTAGTCGACTTGCAGTTGTTGCTTAGTAACATTTGTGATTGTGGTTCTGGTGACAGCGTGAGCAGAGATCATGAAAAATTAAACTTCCAAAGCTGCTAAAGCAGGAGGAAGTGGGAGCCGTGAAGCCACCATTGTGTTCACTTGCTTAGAAACCATTTACTCTCAGGCTTACATGTAAATCTTGGGGAAAACATTGCATGTCTCTGGTTTATATTAAGCCACATACAGCACACTAACTGACATTGATTTGTGTCCCCTGCAGCTGGAGTGGATCACTAAGACATTAAAGAAAAAAAAAAAATCCCTTGACCTTGCAGAATGATCTGGAATTACAATCAGATGGGTCACACGGTATCCCAGAGAAAGTAAGCTCTAACCTGTTCCGTGTCTCTCTCTGCTTCCTTCCCACAGTTCCACCAGGTGAGAAGAGTGATGACCATCCTTTTCCTTACTATGGTTATTTCATACTTCGGTTGCATGAAGGCTGCGCCCATGAAAGAAGCAAGCATCCATGGACAAGGCAGCTTGGCCTACCCAGGTGTGCGGACCCATGGGACTCTGGAGAGCGTGAATGGGCCCAGGGCAGGTTCGAGAGGTCTGTCGACATCCCTGGCTGACACTTTTGAACATGTGATCGAAGAGCTACTGGATGAGGACCAGAAGGTTCGGCCCAACGAAGAAAACCATAAGGACGCGGACTTGTATTCTTCCCGGGTGATGCTCAGCAGTCAAGTGCCTTTGGAGCCTCCTCTCCTCTTTCTGCTAGAGGAATACAAAAATTACCTGGATGCTGCAAACATGTCTATGAGAGTCCGGCGCCACTCTGACCCAGCCCGCCGTGGGGAGCTGAGCGTGTGTGACAGTATTAGCGAGTGGGTCACAGCGGCAGATAAAAAGACTGCAGTGGACATGTCGGGTGGGACTGTCACAGTCCTGGAGAAAGTCCCGGTATCAAAAGGCCAACTGAAGCAATATTTCTACGAGACCAAGTGTAATCCCATGGGTTACACAAAGGAAGGCTGCAGGGGCATAGACAAAAGGCACTGGAACTCGCAATGCCGAACTACCCAGTCGTATGTTCGGGCGCTTACTATGGATAGCAAAAAGAGAATTGGCTGGCGTTTCATAAGGATAGACACTTCCTGTGTATGTACACTGACCATTAAGAGGGGAAGATAGTGGATTTATGTTGTATAGATTATATTGAGATAAAAATTATCTATTTGTATATATACATAACAGGGTAAATTATTCAGTTAAGAAAAAATAATTTTATGAACTGCATGTATAAATGAAGTTTATACAGTACAGTGGTTCTACAATCTATTTATTGGACATATCCATGACCAGAAAGGAAACAGTCATTTGCGCACAACTTTAAAAGTCTGCATTACATTCCTCGATAATGTTGTGGTTTGTTGCCGTTGCCAAGAATTGAAAACAAAAAGTTAAAAAAAAAATAATAAATTGCATGCTGCTTTAATTGTGAATTGATAATAAACTGTCCCTCTTTCAAAAAACAGACAAAAAAAAAACAAAAACAAAAACAAAAATTTGAACCAAAACATTCCGTTTACATTTTAGACACTAAGTATCTTCGTTATTGTTAGTACTCTGTTTTACTGCTTTCGACTTCTGATAGCGTTGGAATTAAAACAATGTCAAGGTGCTGTTGTCATTGCTTTACTGGCTGAGGGAATGGGGGAAGGGAGGGGTATATTTCTGTTTGTTTTGTGTTTTATTTTGTTTGTTTGTTTGTTTTGTTTTTTTAGTTCTACCAGGAATAGGGATGGAGAAAATTTCTTCAGTATCCATTCTGGTTGATAAAACGTTACATTTGTATGTTGTAAAGATGTTTGCAAAATCCAATCAGATGACTGGAAGTGAATAAAAATTAAGGCAACTGAATAAAATGCTCACACTCCACTGCCCATGATGTATCTCCCCGGTCCTCAGATCACCCTGATGGGTCAGGGAAAGCTGCTTTCTTGGAAAGACCCCAATTTGTTTAAAGAGCATTCTTCCCCTCCCTCCTCTTCCTTTGGTCCTCTCTTTTTGTTTTGTTTTATATTATGAAAGAAAATTTAGTTGTGCGCTTTGAAATATTTTATCATCACTGAACAGGTGAACGAAGTTTGTCATATCATGACACTCATAGGAAACAATATGTTTTTGGTTTTGTTTTTTGGTTTGGTTTTGTTTTTTTGTTTTTTTGGTTTTTTTTTGGGGGGGGTTGTCTCCCCTCCCCCCCCAAGAGAAAAAGAACAAGAATAAATATTCCTTTTTTTTTTTTTTTTGTAAGTGGTAAGAATTGGGTAAATCATTATAAGGCCTAACAATGTTTTGCATGTAAAAGTCACCAAATACAGCCAGACACTTAGATCAGAGCCGGAATCCACACTGCCATTGAAATGCTACTGAATGGCCCTGTGGAGGCTAAGTGGAGCTGACATACCATTTCCTGGCAATGCAGGAGGAATTTCTGAGTGGCCATCCTGAGGTCTAGGTGGAGGTGGAGAATGGTACTTGAGACATTCCTAAAGGAAGGCACAAAGCACCCTTCAGAGTAGGCTCTGGAATGATGTGTCAAGTTGCTTAGACCTCCTGCTTTAAGTGCCTACATTACCTAACAGTGCTCAAGAGGTTTTCAATTGGAAAACCTCACTCAAATCCATTTATGCCCTCCATCCGTTCCTAAATTGTGTAGACAGTTGGATTAACCTGGAGCGGGTTTGGATCCAAATGTGACATTTGTGATGATGCAATTAATGCAATGATAGAAAATGTTTGCTATGAGGATACTTATTTGTTTTGAACCTAGACTTAAGGAAGCCTAGGTTTTATTTTTGAGATGTTTTCGTAGAAGGAAAAGAAAAAAAGGAAAAGACACCAAAACTTAGATGGAATGATCAATGTCTAGAAAGGCTAAAAGCCCCGGGCAGAAACAAGACTAAAGAAGGTGTTTTGTACTGTGGAAGAGGCAAGAACACAGGAGAAAATTTTGCTTCAGTGAAGAGCACAGAAACCTCCTACAATTCTGTCTATTCATGGTGAGGGTCCCCTCTGTACTTTGCCCTTTGGGATTAGAAGTCAGCTTGGAAGCCTGAATGAATGGACCCAGTGAGAATTAGTGTCAAGACCATTTCTCGATTTGGCCTTCTTCCAAGAGTGAATGTGTTAGTGGTTACTTATCTGGGTTCTTGAGCATCAGAAAACAGGCAAAAAAAATTGCTTCATCTTAGGAGGGGAAAAGATGAACAAAAGTGAATGTCCATTGTGACTCAGGGAGTGAAGATACCATCAGCAAACAGTTTCTTTTTGTCCAGTCTTTCCTTTAGAGTTAACCTGCATTCTGGAGTACCACTGAATACCTGTCTTTGAAAGAAAGACTACGTAGCACAGATTGTTTTATGCTGTTTGACAACATTAATCTTCGTCATTGTTTTTTAATCTATTAAGGAATGCTTGGAATATCTATTCTATGTTAACTTTTTGCAGCTTCATTCTGAGAGACGCCAGTCAAACAAACAAAAGAATTCCCGTCACAATCTTAACAGTATTCCAAGGGCCAGGTCTGTTAAGTGGCTTCATAGGAGACACTCAGCAGCTGTGTGGTCAGTGGCTCGTTCTCTTACCCACTAAGATCCATCATAGTTACATGTTTGGTGGTTTATGTTGACCTGAGATTTGTTTTTAAAATCCTTTCTTTGTTTCTGTCCGTTCTGGTTCTGTTCTGTTCTGTTTTGTTTTTAAGTCTTGCTGTGGTCTCTTTTTGGCAGAAATGTTTCATGCATGGCAGCAGACCTGTTGCTTTTTTATAGTGATTCCCATTGAAACTGTAAGTAAATGTCTGTGGCCTTGTTCTCTCTATGGTAAAGATATTATTCACCATGTAAAACAAGAAAAATATTTATTGTATTTTAGTATATTTATATAATTATGTTATTGAAAAAAATTGGCATTAAAACTTAACCACATCAGAAGCCTATTGTAAATACAGGATCTATTTAAGTGTACCAATTAACATATAATATATGTTTTAAATATAGAATTTTTAATGTTTTTAAATATATTTTCAAAGTACATAAAATCTGGGGGTTCTGGGTTTTTTCTCTTCACTGTTAAATATGAAAATGTGTTTTATTATAAATACATGTGTTCCTTGCTTTAAGACCAACTTGACTAGTGCTAGCAACTGAACAGTCCCCACACAGGATGCTTATTTCAAAGCACGGGGAGGCCAATCCTGCAGACTGTAAGCTTCAGAAAAGCTCCAGGATTGGGCCTGTCTTCTGTAGTAGAAGACAGGAGTGTCATTTTCTAGGACACTTGAAACTTTTCCCCTTTGAAGTGATGTACTTTCATCAAATACCAAACCATGTATCCTAGCAACATCAGGATCCATGAAGCAGGGCTGGCAGGCTCTATTTGATTATAAAATAACTGTTTAAAAAAATCAAAGTAGGTTTACTTAGGGATAATGAGAATAAATTGGCTCAAATTTAGAAAGTCAATGACTGAAAATCTTGCAGAAATTCAATATTTGGAGACAGGTCATGTCCCCTCGGTTTGGAAGCGATGCCGTTTGCAGCATGTGCTTGTATCCATTGCACTGATTTAATTTTTGTATGTGGAGCATGCAGATTTTATATCATAGTACCCATGATCTAACAGATTGCTACAATCTCTAAAAAGATTTGCCTCCATGATGGCTGCCAAGCCGCTGGGTAATTTAGTTAAAGTGTTTAAAGTTATCACTAAATCTTAGGGAAATAAATGGAAGATTTTAAATTAGACAAAGGGCCATTAAGGAAAAGAGCATCTGTTCTGACTCCTCAGGCTCCCTATTTGAGCACTGACAGCCCATCCCAGAAAGTGGGGATCTATATCTGTGCAATGTATCATTTCTATTTCAAACATACACACATGGTTTCCTCGTGTATTGTCTTATAAATAAGGATCAGGAAAGTCATAACAAACACTGACTTGTGTTGTGTATATGCAAGAGCAAATCGAATGAGATAAATGACTATAATCTGCCCAGTGCATTTGCAGAGCACTCTAACCTCTGAACCCCCCCCCACACACACACACACATACACACCAGCCAGCCCTGACATCCCAGTCATGAAATTAGACCTTTGCAATATTTCAGGCTTACCCAATTTTCATAGTTGACAAAGACTAAAGTTTTTTTCAAAATGATTGAGTAACAAGAGGTGGAAATTAAATAGGACGTCCATGTTTGTAAAGGTAAAGGAGTTTGGCAAATAGGGTGAGGTTTCCATTAGTGCCGAAGATCAGATCAAAATGTATAACTTACTTAACCAACATAAAAAGTCACGATCTTCAGGCTATAACTATGACCAAAAAATGAGAGAAAATATGAAGTCAGAGGAACAAGATAGAAGCATTGCTAAATTACCCAATTGGAGTGTAACAGGAGTAACCAGTTTGCACTGGATTAAGCCTGTTTAATCATTAAGAAGCTTGGAAATAAGCTGCATGATTTGATCTATTGCTTTCATCACATTAGTGCACCTCTGTGGTCATTCGATGTGTCTATGAGGTTGTTTTATCATCGTCACTGATTTTTATCAATAATATCCCAACTCAGTGGAAACTTGAAGTACATCTTGGAATGAAAGAGTGAAATTGTCCCATGTTCATTGAAATGATTATCATGCTCTAGAAAACAGGTCAGATACCTTTGAACTGCACCAGTAAACATCAGGCCTTGCCTCGGTGCAGCCAGCACTCCTGGCAGCATTATTAGTTTCTCCTATCCTAATATCTAATGTGTTCAAGTCAGTCAAGATGAAATGTCCATATTTTTAGTAAGCTATTGTTAACAGAGCCAACTGAGATTTACAAGAAACACACATACATACTCATGTGCGTGCATGCATACATACATACATACATACATACATACATACATACATACATATGTAGATGAAGTATTTACCCTGGAAAGAACCATCACAGATATTGTTAAACTTTAATATCCTGACCAGAAAAAAATAGTATTTGATGGTAACTGAACCATTCTTTTAGCTGTGTGTTAACTGTTGCCTTAAAGATGAGTTGTTTGGTTTGGGAGGTCAAAGAAGAGTAGCTGTGACTCTGACTCCTTTTAGTTGCACTGTCCTTTCTATAGCTAATAAACTTCTGCCTGAGAGCCCAGGATAGTGACTAGAGTGAGTTACAGTCACTACAAAGCATCCAGCATGCCTAGACAGTCCAGCTAGTGAAAATCCAATTGCACCTCTACCACCAGTCTTTTGAGCATCATCTACTCTTTTAATTTTAGCTAGTATTCTTTCTAGGAAAAAATGCATGTGCCTTGCTTTTTAACAAATGATTGAATAAAGTATATTATTTGCAGAATATGAACATTACACAAGAACATTACACACGAATGTCAAAAATACTATGACACTTTATACATCTATCCTTCATTAACAAAAAATCTATTTATGTGACATGACATAGAATTTCCATAAGCCTTTACCCAGCTCTTTTTATAACTTGGTAAGCAACCACATGAAAACTTCATAACCTGGCATTGGCCTTTGGAAAAACAATTCTGATGCTTGGTAATGGCTGTAGCATCAAACTGTAAAAGCTAATCTTACAATTAATACACCAAACACACACACACACACACACACACACACACACACACAGGCGACTGCCTTTGCATTTATTCTGTATTTAAGTGTGAGCTACTATTTGCTTTTAATCTAGAAATAAAAAGAAAGTTTCCTTCAGGAAAAAAAAATGTTTCCTTTATCCTGAAAACAATCTCACACCAACTGCTGTAGTTAATGACAGGATGTGTCTGAAGCATGTAAATAACCAAAGAGTGAGTTGAAACAGCTTGAGGTGTCCACATTTCAAAAGGATATAGTGATGCTGCAGCC